CGCATAGCGGGTTGGATATCCAGGTTATTCAAAAAAAATATATACAAAACAGAAAAATTTCTAAAGTTGATTGTATTCTTTTTCTTTTTGGAGATTTTGACTTTTGCTTCTCCGAAATTATAAAGAATTTGTCGGAGATGCTCTTAAAGATTTTATTTGGCCAAGACTCAAGGATTTTCGAGGCCTGACACCGGAAGCATGTTACAGATGAGTTGATGATGTGATGACATATGTACTTTTTCCTTATAAGTTATAACTATTTGAATTTAAGAATTATTCAGCTTTTGTTATATTAATAACATTATGGAAATGCATGTTTTATATGTTGAATTTCTACCTTATAGTTTCTTTTGCCTATGCTGGGTTAGTTCTCTTTGTTATAGCAGTGGAGATGTGTCGAGGCAGGGCGCTTTTGGTCGAACCTAGAGCTTATTCAGCAGGTGACAATCATGCGGTCTCTTAAATTTCATTTTGTTTCACATTACTAGAACCTTGTTTTGTGCAAAAATTGTCACCTCTTATTTTTGGATGTCCCATGACCATTGCAACATTTTTGTTTTCGGAAAGCTCTTGAGTTGCAATTAATGTGACTATTGGAGTCTCATGTCGGCTAGACTTGGACCATTTCTTTTGTATATATGTTGGAAAGCTCTTTTGGAGAGTGATCTAAGGCAGGGTTTACTGGGCTCGTGTGGTCTGGTTTAGAGGGAGTATTTTGTAACACCCCAAAGCCCAAAGTAACAGTCTGGCCATATAACTTCCGATTCAACTTAAAACCATGGTGGAAGTTATTGGTAGCCCACAACTTGAGGCTTATAAGGAGCTTACAAATCCCATTTTCTATTCATGTGGGATGAGTTGTTACATATTATTTTTTGTAACGCTGATAAATTGTATGTGTAAATAAAATAAGAAACAAATACTAGATTTACTCTCTTCCTTCCAATACGTTAGTCACTTCAGGATTTTTGGACCTCATGATGTCACTTGCTTGGCTAATCAAGGACAATCAACATAATTTATCTTTCTGTGTGTGAAGGCAATTAACTATTGCATAACTTACAAGGGTAAAAATGGAGTAAAGTTTTGTAACCATTACAAATCTACCAGTAGTGTGCCAAAACCTTAAACGATTGGGTTGAACAAAGAAGCCCTAAAACCACCAAATCAAACTGAACCATACCAAACCGTTTGATGGTCGGTCTTTTGTAACCATTACAAATCAACCACCCATTTTAATATTTGCTTAACATTTTATTATATTATATGTGTAATATGCAGGCCGTTTAGTGAGTTTCCAATTAGGAGCATGACCTTTTTTTAATCTTAATGACCTACTAATGATCTGCCTCTGCCTCTGGTGTAAAATGCCCCCATGAAATCATGAAAATACACTAGAAAGTTAGTTTTTGTCAAAGTGACTTTTATAGGTTATTTATAGAAATAGCCCTGTAAGATGCTTACTATGCTATTTATATAGAAAAGAATCTACGAAAGCACCTAAAATAACATAAAAAACCAAACGAAACTGATCCGTTTTCCCACTCGAAAGTAGGGTGTGGGAGGGGTGAGATGTACGCACAAGTGACCTCTACCCCAACAGGGTAAACGACTATTTCCATGAAGGCCCCCGACTTGTGCTAGAGTGTGAGTAAACAAAATTGGGAGAAATAAAGATTAACATATGGTGAAAGAAGCCTGAAAAAAGTGACGAAAAAGTAACGAGTATGTGCATTGATAACATACGAAAAGGTAGGAAAGACAGGATACATAGAGCAAAAAAGGCCAAACAACACATCTCCTGCCTAAAATGCCAGCCCTCTACCCCAACCTATTTAACTCCCTTGTGTTCAACCATGGTAGCTCCCACCCTCAAAACTAGTATGCTACCCTAGTCCTCCCTCTCCTAGTACTCCTATTAGAGGTCATGTCCACTAAAATGTCAAAAAACTAAATTGATTTTTTGAATAAATATAAAATTATAAGTAAAGTGAACATGTAGTTAATGGTAATTATTGTCTGAGCGTGAAACTGATTGAAACTGATTGTAAATTGGAATTGTGAGTCAAAGTTTGTAACTTTATAATGCATAGCATAGTTGGGCTCAAACCGCCCAAGTTTTTTGGAAGGGTGTCCCAGGTTATGCCTAGACTAATCCCGGCAAATTGTGACTGCAAGAAATCATCCTTGATAAACTCAGTCTAGGTGACTAATGGAGTTTCCTATCCATGATTTTGTTATTTACTGGAATAATTTGATTGCATTAATATATAGGATGAATCTTTGAGATGGGTAGAAAGATAAAGAGCAAGTGCGATTTCAAAATTAAACCACATGCTCCACTGCTTGTGCGGCGAACGCTCCCAAAGGCGACCCTCTCGAGTTTCAAGGAACAAGCTTAGTCAGAGTTTCAAAGAGTTGGGTGCAAAATACTGTATTTCTATGCACACCATTCCTAGTCTTTAAATTCACTAGACTTTCTCAGTGGAACCAAAAAAAAAAAATTCCACAGTCTGCCACCGATAGGTGGTCGATCGTGTTTCTTTTCGGGATAAAAAAGAAATAAGCCTTGGGTAAAAAAAATAGTGGGTGCAGGTTTCTTTTCACAGATTTTACGAACATAAGTTCTTATATTCATATTTGCCACCTTCCCACTCACACGGCTTCTTCTATTGAAGAACGAGATACGGTTGTCAAATGGGGGAAGAGGAACGGCCTGACATGACGTTTGCTAGGAATCAAGTCTTTCAGGTGCCCACAATTGTTCTATATGCCTAGAATCGAACCCTGGGCAGGTGGGATACGCCACCACATCCCTCTGAGCCTCAACCACTACGCCACAACCCTTGAGATCGTCAAACTACCAAGGTTTTGACCGCAGGGTTGGCTGGTGTTTTCTAATTTTAAACGACCCAATTTTGTTTTGGTCCCATGTAACCATTCAAAACTGACCGAACCAAACATGTTTGGGACCATTAAGCGACTAAGATTTTAGAACATGGAAAGTATGGAAGGGCTAATTACATGGCTTGTGTTACAACCTCACTAATTTAGATTTGAGTGTTTATGAGTAATGCTAGCTTATACAATTCTTGAAGTTATAAATTTATATGAGTAGATTGTCGATAGTCAGATCCATACAAACAAATATGTCTTTTGCTCAAAATATATAAATGAAGACAATGTATAATCATTTTGGTATGAACATTGCCGACCTTACTATAATAATTTATAAGTACCGAAATGAATTTGGTTATCAAACATCTAAAATCTATTTTAATGGATGTGACCAACTGCTAGTCTTATTTCTTACTTTAACAAACCTTAGGGTTTGTTTGTTAGCAACTTAATGAGCTTAATGAGACTCACAGCTTATTTGGTCAGCTTACATGATTGTTTGGTATTGGCTTAATTATATAGAAAGTGACTTATTCAGTAAGCTTCTAAGTTCTAGGGGGGAGCTTTATGCAGGAAGCCCAGTTTTTTCCAAACGTGTCTCTCCCAATTAAAAAACACGCTATTTTCATCTATGAAAAAACCCTCCCAAACAAAAACCTTTCCAATCTATACAGATAGATCAATTCACACAGACAACTTATCCTCACATGACTTGATAGAAAACCAACCAAACATCCCCTTAGTGTTGATTCAAATAGAAATGTCAAAACAAAGTGCTTTGACTTTGATTAGATAAGTTTGACTCCTATTTAATTCTGTTTCTAGCTATCATATCTTAATTACATAGTTCTTTTTTTGGGGCAATATTCAAGCTCAAATTATCTATTTTTCCTCATTGTAACCATATTAATTTTTGGTCCCTGGATGCCCTTTTTGTTGTTGTTGATGAGAATTTCGTATGCTAAACAAAATAGCGAAACAATTTTATAGAACTATTTGTCTAGTCAAACGTTGCAATTTTTATGGGGGCAAAAGAATAAACGATATATGTCTATCTTGTTCATCAATCTTCATAGATTCATTTGGTTTATCGTCTTCTTTTTGATTTTTGATTTTTCTCTCTCTCTTACTATCTCTTCTCTATCATTACCCTTGATATAAATGTCGGGCACACCTCTAATGCATGAGAAACCACCTTATTTCTTAATGGTATGTGTATATATAGGAGCTTAAGGAAATAAATTTCGATAAATCATATCCTCTTTAATCTTTCAGAAGACATAGCCTCTATAACCTTGGCTTCAAATTAAGATAATTCTTGTTTTACATTCTCTTTACTCTCATCGATCAAGAAAATGAACAGAATTAGTTCACTCGGAAGATACACTCAATCTTTTGGAGCCAAAGAAATATGCATATTTCTCGTGAATGATGATTGTATTTGTCGCAATATTGTTGCTGATATGCTTGACAACTGTCGTTATGAAGGTACCAAATAGAATTTTAGAGCGATCCATTGTTGGTTTTTTGTGATTGTCTCTATATAGAATCTATGTGCTTTGATGGTGATTAGTTTTACGTTCTTTAGTCATAATTCATCTTAATTTTCGCTTAGGATGTGCAGATTATGAACATTGCTAATAAACATTCTTATTGTTTTGAAAGATCCAATCTGTTCAACTCTCTTCTTTTACAGCTTTTAGTTATGAAAGGGAAATGGATGCATTGAATATAATCCGGGAGAAGAAAGATGATCTGGAATTGATCTTAACAAACATCCACAGAACATATGCAAACAAATATGGGATCATCGACCATATAAAAAGAGAGTTTGAACTACAAATCATTTGTAAGTTTCATCTTTCCCTTTTGCCAAATTCTTGCTAAGGATTCAGATACAGCGATTCATTGATTTATATCGTTTAGATATAGAGCTATTGAATTCTTGAATCATCATACTTGGCCTTCTGTTGCTAAATAATCTTAGTGCTTGTGGAATTGTGAATGCAAAAAGATCATTGTGTATTTTGCATTTTTGTAAAAATAAGCACAATAGTTCAAAAAATGAATAACTCATTTGATATATATAACATGACACAGTTATGTCCCCGGATAATGATGATATAAAGAACGCTTCAATAAGTGGTGGGAATGGTGTAACGGTATATATTATGAAATCCTTGAGCATGAATGATGTTAACAATCTTTGGGCAACTGCATTGGCACGAGAAAAAGGTAAAACAGAATCATCATCTGGAAAATTAGTACATGTAGAGAATGGATCATCGTCAGTTGCTAGTGAAGCGTGCAAAAGAACAAGAACAGTAGAGATAAACGAGGAAAATGGAAATGTAGAAAAGAAACCGAGGGTTGTTTGGACTAAAGAGATGCATCAAAAATTCTTGGATGCCGTTGCGCAGCTAGGACACGATAGTAAGATAATTCTTGATTTTGATTATTTTTTCTGGGAAAATAATGTATTTGTTTGGGTGTCACTGCAAATTCGGTTGCACTTCGTGTTCCAACAATTTTTTGTGCAAATAAAAGAAGTGACTTGACCAATTTGCCCTTGGTGAAATGATTCTATATTGATGCTCATGAAGGGCATTTGGGTCATGAAATGTCTGTTTTTTTACCATGAAGAAGGATTCGTTGGTAAAAGACGGCAAAACGATATTTTACTAGCAGAAAGGCCAAACAAATATATTTTCTTATTCTTTTTTCTGTAATTATATTTTCTCTTAATTTGTATACAACTTTGATCACATTTATTTCTTTATTTAGAGGCTTTTCCAAAGAAGATAGTTGAACTCATGAATCTCCCAGGATTGACAAGGGAGAATGTGGCCAGTCATTTGCAGGTTTGCTGTTCTTCAACTATTAAAAATTCATTTTATTATCTTTCGGCATATTTTTTGGGATTTATTTATAAATAGAAAAGAAGAAAAAATGGAATTTAATTAAGCATGCTTTATTGTTATTACTTCTTGTGAGCAATTAAAACTAGTAAATATTTGATTTATTACCAAGATTACCTTTGCCACTTATAGAATCTTGAAATATACACATTTAACAATCATTAATAATCGAGATTTGAAATGATTGATTGCTTGCTTCATTGCTTCTCGTACCACCATGGTTCAATTCTTACCGAAGATGCACACCAATGGACCCTCCAATAACTCTATTGAAAAACCAGACCAAACAATCCCAGTATATCCCACTCAAAAGCAGAGTCTTGGAAGTTGGTATGTATGAAGACGTGTATCATAGTTGATATATATTAGCGGAAGAACACTCCATGTATAACAACGAACTAAACAATTCAGTTGGTAGAAATAGCGAATAAACCATGCTGGTGAGTTGGGTAATAAGTGCCAAAGCATTTTGGTTGGCAGAAAGTATCTTATTCGGTTAATCAGCTTAATGGACTCAAAAGCTTATTCGCTTGGCCATTAAGCAGTGTCTGGTTTTTTGTTCTTAAGCAACGGCCGGAAGTGGCTGAAATAGATAAGCCATTTTATCTGCTGTCCATATTAAGTCATCTTATTCCAGATAAGTCTTAGGAACTGTTTATTTTTTTTCCAATTAAGGGCCTGCTTGTTAGCAACTTAATGAGCTTAATGGGATCTCAGTTTATTCGGTCAGGTATATATGACTATTTAGTAGTGGCTTAATGATATAGAAAGTGGCTTATTCAGTAAGCTTCTAGGGGGAGCTTTATGTATAAAGCCAAGTTTTTCCCACACCTGCCTCTCCATCTATGAAGAAAGACCTTCCAAACAAAAACCTTCCCAATCTATACAAAAAAATTAATCCACATAGACAACTTTATCCATTCAGGTCTTGATGGGAAACCAACCAAACAGCCCCTAATCATGTAATGATTAAGTTGTATGTCTCGATAAATTTTTCTAAGGAACGGGAGACCAATGGATTTGAGGGAGGCAAAGAGAAAAGGATGGATTATTTCTGGGGCATTTCTGGTATTAATTTGTTTAAGGTGGCTTAATGGGTACGAGTGAGGGGTCCTGGCTTATTCCATATAGCCATTTTGGATTAATGGCTTAACAATCAAGCTGTAAAGAAATACACCTGTATGGAGTGTTTGTTTGCTATTTTCTGCCAACTAGAATTCTTTTTTGTGGGGTGGGTGATGAGATATAAATACTAACTTATTTTGCAGAAGTACCGGATGTGTATGAAACGAGCTCAAGAAGGATTTACAGGTCCTTCATATGATTTTATCGACCCTTTCGGTTTCAACGCTTCACAAAGAAACTTTCAACAATCCCATTGGAACCCTTTTGGAATCGGATCAAGAAACGCTACTACAAGCCACTTGGGTTTGAATTGTTATGGATCAAGATTGGGAATGCCTCCAGATATATCGTTTCTAAACACAATCCGCTTGAGACCTGACCATAACTTTAGGGTATATGGCGATGAAAAGAAAAGCGTTCTCTTAAGTATTGGTGACAATAGAGCATCCTCAAATACAAATTTTGCTGGTTTTAGATTGGCTGGTGACGGAAAGTCTGTCGAGTTTGGGCAGCATAGTCATTTAAGTGATGGTAGTCGGATCATAAGAGAGAATGGGAGTTACATTCAGCAACAACATTCTCTTTCGGAAGTGGGAAATGACGATTCTAGTCATTGCCCATCGTTTTCAGCCAGCTTCACTTCTGGTGCACCACCAGGAACCAACTGGGCTGACCTGATTAGGTTCAGTAGCAACCACCAGCAGCAGTCTTCTATAGCCGCTCTTCTAGATGTTAAAAGCATGCCAACCATCTTGACTCAGCCGCAACCGCCACCGCCAGTTGCACCGCCAGGGTCTGACTGGAACCAGGTGGCTAGCTTCACTCAGCAGCAATCATCTTTATCTCCACCATGGTCCAACTGGGCTGAGCCCCTTAAGTTCCCTTGTCAACAATCTTCTATAACCTCTCTTCAAGGCATTGACCAAACCAAGACTGCCATCATGACTCCGCTGCAACCAGGTGCAGCACCGCCGGGGACCGAATGGGACGAGGCGGTGAGCTTTACACCTCCGGAATCTGCAGCACCGCTGTGGACCGACTGGACTGAGCCAGCCAGCGGTTCTTCTCAACGGCCAGCAGCATCAGGAAACGACACCAATGCCAATTCTGAGATTTTTAGCGATTTCACCTCGTGCTCACTTCCTCCAGAATTCCGTCAACTGGGGATGGTAGGAGGCGACGATGGCGTTGATGCAACTACGATATGCATATTCGATGATTTACTTTTCGATCGTCAAGATTTGACTTAATTCAATGAATATGTAGTTGACTTTTTTGAGTCAAACATGTAAATATCAACTATATATTATATGGATGATCCATGTATTCTTGAATCTTGATGTATATCCCCTGAAATTGTATTTCTTGATTTTGGGGGTATGAGTTATGAAATGAAGGTATGGAGCTCATTGCAGAATGAGCTAGAGATGCACAAAAAGTTCCCAAGCCCAGTCCGAAAAAGCTTGGGCCTAGTGAGCCTGGGCTAGACCAGGCCTCAAAGCCCAATTAGGCCGAAATATTGGCAGCATGCTTGGACCTAGGCCTGGTCTGCAAAATTCCGACCTAAAAAAGCCTGGTTAAACCCAAAAAAGTCTGATTGGGTCATTTTTCAACCCTAAAGCTTGTCACGGGCATTAAAAAGCCCGAAACTTTTTCCATTACTCACTGAAAATTAGGGGTGAGCATAGACGGGTACCCGCCCTATTTGACAGGAACCGGAACAGATGGTTCTTGAGATATTGGAACCGGAACTGGTTAGAGCGGTTCTTGAATTTTTGGAACCGGAACCGCCCAACTTCTTAAAATATTAAAATTTTATTATTTAAAATAAAAAATAAAACATTGCCTAAACACTAAATAAATAAACAAGAATACAAATTATACGAAATAATGGTTACAAATATTGTTTAACGATTACAAATCATAGTAGACTAATAGTAAATGTTGAAAGTTTAACGATTACATACTACGAATCCAATTAAACACAATTTGAAAAAAATACGAATCATTTTATCTCAAATTCTGAATCTCGTTTCAATTTCTTGCATACTCATCACATCCTCAACCTCGTACAGTACTTGTAAATAATTGAGTGTTAAAAAAACTACACAAACTCGTAAAAAACTGCACACATTTTTAACTAAAAACTGCACATATTTTTAACAAAAAACTACACAAATTTTATATTAAAAAAACTGCACAAACTTTGTATTAGAAACTACACATATTTTTAACATAAAACTACATAAATTACATAAAAAACTGAACAAATTATATAAAAATCTGCACATATTTTTTTTAATACAAAAAACTACACAAAATATGTAAAAAAGAACTGCACAATTGGTCCTGGCGGGTAACGGTTCCGAAAAATTGAGAACCGGAACTGGAACCATTCTCAATCAGTTCCGTATTTTAAGAACCGGAACCACTCATATCGGTTCCGGTTCCGAAACTAGTAGTTCCAAGGTAGTTCCAGTTTCTCAAGTGAGTATCCGGTTCCGCTGCTCCACCCTTACTGAAAATGAGGTGGGATGATCTTATTCTTATAAGCCTAGACCTTATGTATCTCTAGAATAAATACATGAAAAATATAAGGGTTGATATGACAAAATGGTATATATGATCTAAATTGAGTTTGTTATGTGTGTTTTTTCCAATTTACAACTTCACCTTTGAAAATTTAAAATGTGCCAATTAGTCCCTTGGCTTTTCATACATTTACGTTTTTTCTTAAATATGAAGAAAAAGTTATACGAACCAATATGTAACACTCCAAAAATTTCGAATAAGGTACAAAGACCGAAACGGCCATTTCGTGAAAGTAGGAAAGTTCAGGGGGTCGAATGGGGACGAAATGAAGCCATAAGGCAGTGAATCGAGTATGGAATTGCTACTGAGGTGTTCTTGATATGATCAGTGGATTCAAGAATGGATCAAGAAATGAAATGACGATACAAATGTTGTTAAATATGCAAAACTATAAATACGTACGGTGGAAAGGATTCAGTGCAATAAGAAATGAATTAATTTGATATTGAACCGTTAAATACAGTTATGTATGCAAGCAAACTGGACGACGATTGGGCATGATCACACACAAAAAGTCACACAAGTGAATGGCATGAGCTCGTGCAATTTAAAAGACGCGAGCTCATGCTCGCACACAAGGTCCTGTTGATTAGCCAACGTTTGCTGATACCCGTCTTAAAAAAACAAATCTAAGACAAAAGTTCATTTTCTCATATTCATCTTACACTTTATATTTGCTTCTTATATCTGACGTGTTTTTACTTGAAATTTCATTGTGACGACGACAAATTGTATTTAAAAAGCGGCAATAAAGTGAATTAAAGTTGAAGAACTGACTATTTTAGTCAATTTCCCTTGATTATATGGTTCAGTGAAATGTCTACGCCATGACAATGAACGATTCCTCGTCACTGACATGGTTAGAACTACACTGAACCTAAGAGCATGCGTTCATGAACCTGTCAACATCATGTTTCTCTGTCCAACATATTTCTTAAACCTATAAACCAAATTATTCTCAAATCATGATAGAGACTCATACAAATTAATCATGTGTCGGGAACCAGATTTGAACTGATAACACGAGGATTTTCAGTCCTCTGCTCTACCAACTGATGTCTCATCCCAACTTGGGTTTACGTCAATTGAAAGGGTATTGCAAAGCCTCATCCAGATCCTATAATTTGTCAAAAAGAACAACTTTATAAATTTCAGTATGAATAAAAATGTCGATCGTGAATCATTTAAATGGAGATTTCTTGCTCAAAGACTTTTTGGTTTATAAATTGGTCCCTATTTTTATTTCCATATATTAATATATATTGAAAATAAATTATTTATTGCATTTCCCTCCACTATTTGTTAAAATAATTTAAATTATCCAAAATATATAAAAAGATTAATGGATAAATTATAAAAATTACTAATTTTTGAAAATATTGTAATAATATTATTATATAACAACTATTATGAACAAATAAAATATATTAAAGAAATACAACAATAATGAAAAATTAAAATACAATTATAACAACAAATAAAAAATATGATATTTTATCAGATAAAAATCAAAGATAAACTAATAAAATTTAGAGTAAACTATAAATTTGGTGTTACTGTTAACAAATTCTGTTAAATGGGAGATATTTTCGTCTTTTTATCCATTCAAAATCGATTTGTGATTTTTGATCCATATGGGTTTTAATTGGGTAGACAAAACAATCAATAAAAGAACAAAAGTGTTCCTCATCTAACGGAATTTGTAACAGTCGTTAGGGAAGGACTAAATTCAGAATTTTTTTATAAACCACAATGACGATCTTATAATTTCGAAACTACATGGTAGAAAATGTTATTTTAGATAAATCATATGGACCAAATTTATAGTTTACTCGAAATATAACACAATCAATCAACACTAAATAAAAATTCCATATTCGCCATGGAGGTTCAAATGCGGTGACTCAAGGTTATCCACAAAGCAGGTGATCGTCTTGAGATTAGCCAGCTCGTATAACGGATTGGATATCCATGTTAATAAAAAAAGAGTAAATTATGTTTTTAGTCCTCATGGTTTGATGATATTTTTTCTAATTTCATTACTGTGTTTTTATAATTACAATTTTCATCCCTAAGGTTTATAATTCATTGCATTTTCATCTTTATTTTTTACACTTTATTGTTGTTTTCATCTCTTATACTTAAAAGTATGAGTTAGGCTCAGAAACAAAGATGACAAAGAATTGCAAACCACAATAACGAAAACCGCAATTTCAAAACCATAGGGAGAAATGTTGATTTTTAACAAACCATAGGGACTAAAAATGTAATTCAATCATTTTTAAAAATAGAAGGGTTTGACTGATATTTGAAGTCAACGTGGCCAATTGTTTGGTGCAGGGAAAGATAACGGTAATTATACCTATTTTTTCTTACACTTCTTCCATTTCATCCCACCAAAAGTTTCTTCGCGAAGAAGATGACGATCCTGCTACAAAATCTCCCGCCAATTCCTTCTTCTGCTTCTTCCCTTCGTTGTAGAACAAGATCCCCAACAGTTGTGTGTGTTGTGGCCTCTAGTAACACTCACAAACCTGATAGAATCAAACCCAAAACCAGAATCAAGATCAAAGAACCGGATGATTACCATGCCACTCTCAGAGCTCTCAACTCCAAAGGCCGTATCCCTAGAAAAACCCTTGGCCAGGTGAGTTTTATGAGTTTTTGGGTGTTGTTTTTGTATGGGTTTTGTTTGTGTTTACTCCAGAACGGGTTATAAGACGTTGGCACTCGTTTAAACGTCTGGAATTATGTCAGAAACATCTGTTTCTTGTGTTGTACCTGAATTGCGCACCGGGTTTGCAGGTTCTTTTACTTGGGGTGAATGAATAGGTGATGTTTCGTTTGGGTTTGAGTGGGAATTTTTGTCGAGCACTTGGTGGGTGTTTGTTGATTGTGGTAAAAAGAAGCTACATTTTAAACTCAAATGGCCACTTTCTAAGATTGAAGTTATTTTGGATTTTAAGCACAAATTCATGGAGTATGGAGACTCAATTATAGTGAAAAGAAGGTGGTACAAGAAAAGAGAGGGGAGAAAGTTAATATCAACTAAGAATCAATGAAATGATTAACTAAATATTGAGCTGAAGAACTCAAATTCAGTTTCTTTTGTTCCAAGTTGCTCTCTTTCTTCTTTTTAGATTGCTTTTCTTTCTGTCTAACTGGCATTGATTGCACTGGTTACAATGGTGACATTCCCTGTGGTTGCAGTATTTGACAGTCCCTAAAACCATATCCTGATGATTTCTTGTTAACAATAAGATTCTTTTGTAAATTCTTGTATTATGAACTTCACAGCAAGTTATTATGAGGTGAATAATATAGTTGACAGTAAATAAGGAAGGACAAATAATTTGAAAAGTATTTTGGTTGACACCAAAAATCAAGAATTGGCTCTCTATTTTCTGAAATGGACAGAATGATAGCTAATTAGTTGTTATTATTATTATGTCATGCAGCATTACATGTTAAATGGTGAAGTAAATGAACAACTTGTTGATGCTGCCAATGTAAGCGATGGTGACGTGGTGCTTGAAATTGGTCCAGGAACCGGGTCTCTCACCAATGTACTTGTTGAATCTGGTGCAACTATTCTTGCTATTGAAAAGGTTTTTCATTTTCGGCCTTTCTTGTTCTTGCTAAGTGTTTGATCTTACCATCACATAATAAACTTGTCATTATTCATCTTTGTAGTGTCTTGATCAATGTGATATCATCAGATTTGGGAAGTCTTCAATACTTTCCTATATCTCACACCTACAGATTAGTTATAAAATGTATCATCAGTCATTATTATGAAGAAACTTCAATTTTTTCTAAAAAGTGAATGTTCACCTTTTCCTATGATTTATTGTGCATATATTAATATGCTATTTCTGAAGTTGAGGGCATTCCATGTATATGGAATGAATGAAGTATTTTCCCCCTTTCCCAATAGGCTAAAATCCATCATACAGAAAATGATGGAATGCTCATCATACAAGCATATGGATATCTTTGGAACTCCATAATTGCAGCATTGTATGTATGCCATAAATCATTATTTGTGCCCATTTAACTTGAAAATTTTGTGTGAAATGTGGATCAGCTTGTTGGAACAAATTAAATGACATTAGTGTAGTGTAATAATTTCTTCTATTGACTGCTGTGAACTGTAGGATCCTTACATGGCTGCACTTGTAAGAGATCGCTTTGCGAGTACACGCCGTGTGAAGGTAATGCATACTTCTGTTTGTTTTTGCTGCACTTAGCATATGAATCCCTCTCAAATTTATAATATCAATATATATTTCCCGGGTCGATCTATCCTCCCCCCCCCCCCCCCCCCCCGGGTTGGCTAGCCTCAGCCGTTGAGTGAGCCAAAAAATGCCCCCTCACATTGGTGCTCTTCGAGGTAGGTTCTGTGTGGGGCCGGTTGGAGTTGCTGGTCATCATTTTTTTTCCCGATTTCGACTATAAGTTATGATGATGGACCAGGCTTTTACATTCCAAAATCTTATTTATTTCGAGTAAATTACATGTTATGTCCCTGTAGTTTACTGAAAATCACACCGTGCATCCCTAAAGTGAAATAATCATGGAAAAGGACCCTGTGGTTTACATTTTCTCACGCTCTGGATCCCTGCCACTAACTCCGTTAACAAAAGTTCCTGTTAACTCAGGGGTAGTTTGGTCTTTTTACCCTTTCTTTATCTGTATCCCTATAAAAATTCTGTTAACTTAGGGGTAGTTTGGTCTTTTCTTGACATTAGTTTGTCTTATGTTCTTTGGATACTACTAGTTCATGTATTTAGTCTTGCTGTTGAAATTGATTTGACTACTACTGGTACAAATGAACTGTTAATAACGTTTCATAGTCATCAACAAATTATGTAGGTGGTACAGGAGGACTTTACAAGATGCCACCTCCGATCTCATTTGTCATCATACATGGAAGAAAGTGATCCCTCGGATTCAAATCCATACGCAAAGGTGAAAACCTTATGTTTCTCTCTATTTATGCCAGATAAGATACCTTGTGAGTTGTGGGTGGTTTTAATCGAAAAACATTCTATTTTATCCTAATTGTTTATACAGGTGGTTGCCAATATACCATTTAATATAAGTACTGATGTAGTCAAACAACTTCTTCCAATGGGTGACGTCTTCTCTCAAGTAGTCTTATTACTCCAGGTTTGCATTTTTCGTTTTTTTCCGTTATTTATGTGACATTTTTCTGTTACTTGCGAAAAACCATGTTAAGCGTCTCACAGTCCTTCATAACTGGTGAAATCTTGTTAGTTTCTTATCACACATACCTGTAAAACTAAGGACTGGCTTGAAGGTTCCATAGTCCAAACCAAACCAAACGAACCCAGTATATCCCCCACAGAGGTAGGGTCTACCTGAAGGAGGCGGGTAGGATGCACGCAGACCTTGCCGCAACCCAATAGTGTAGAGAGGTGTGGTCCCACAAATGTAAAATTTGGGATGATATTCTTGCCACATCAAAATACGATATATTGTTTATGTTTTCTTTGATCTTTCTCGACGTATTTCATAGATAAGGGATCTTCATAAAGGATTCACCTTTTCGTACTATATTGCTTATCAGAAGTACATGTAGATATCTGAGAGCTTTATTCAGGTGATGCATAATCTTTAAATAAAGGAGAGTGTATCTAAAGTAGTTTGGTCTGATTCTTGTTTTGTATAACATACTTCTAAAACTTTCATTTTGGTACCTCAAATGTGATATCTCAAACATTTAGGTAACTAGTTTACATATGAGAATGCATGAAAATGCAATGTACTATGGCGCAATTCTACTTCCGAGATTTAAGTTCCATTCATTTATATCATTTTCCTTCGGTCTTCATTTATGGCCCATCTCCATTTCTCCTTGGTAAAGGGACCCACAATGACATCTTCATTTCTTAATGCTTACCTAAGCCACTCTAGCCGTTGTGGTAGAGGTCAGGTCTATGTACATCCCACCCCCAGACCCCACCTCCAGATGGAATATACTGAGTTTTTTGGTTTGATTTAGTTTTTACTGACCTGCAAATGAACATGCGAATATGAACACAAACCTGTAATATAGAAAACCCGTTTTTTCGGTTATGATTTCATCGTCATGTTCCATCTTTATGTTTGAAAACCTTCAGGAGGAAGCCGCTGTGCGCATGGTGGACTCATCCTTGAGGACATCCGAATACAGGCCCATCAATATCTTCATAAACTTCTATTCAGGTAATGCTGCATATGGACTGTTCATATGATGATATGAAATGAAAAGAAAATATTGACCAATTGTTGGAAATTTTAGGGTTGAAAAATAAAATTTAATCTTTTTCTTTTTTTCTAATTTCTTGGCTGAAACCTTTTCCTTGCAGATCCTGAATACAAATTTAAGGTCCCAAGGGAAAACTTCTTTCCTCAACCTAAAGTAAGCTATTGATGCCTTTCTTTATTGTCTCCACATTTTATAAGAATAGCTGATAAGCTACATGACGATGTAAAATCACCTAAAAGGAAAAATATAAGGGGTATAATTGGAAAAGTGAAAAAACCCCAATAAGCCACTTGAAGTAGCGTTTCGAAAAGGCGGTTATGGCTTACCAAATGAGACTTTTTCAGTGAGGTCAGAAAATAAGCTAGCTTATGGTTGGCTAACATGACTGTTAAAACAAGGAGTATTTGGTAATATATTACTGCATAGGGTGCAATTTTACACCCCCCCCCCCCCCCCCCCGGGTAATATTTGGTTTTGCTTGTCCAGTACTTGCTTCTCTTCGTATGTTATCGCTTTTCAAAACTTTATCATCATCCGGCTTTCTCTATATCACATTTTTCACAAGCGGGGGTCTTCACGGAAACAACCGCTCTACTCTTTAGGATAGAAGTCAGGTCTATGTACATCTTATCTTCCCCAGATCCCACCTGGGATATACTGGGTTCGTTTGGTTTGGTTAGCATAATTACTTGGCAACAATCACCAAGATCTTGCATAAAATAGCTCACTCATATCCGGATTCAGTGTTAGCTGCGGAAAGTTCATGTAACGACTACCTTATCTTCGCTTTATTTTTTCACTATAATCATTCATGTTATAATGAGAATTCATTTATTTGTATGTAGGTAGATGCAGCTGTTGTTGTGTTTAGACTGAAGCAAACAGTAGACTATCCCCAAGTTTCATCAACCAAGAGCTTCTTTTCAATGGTTTGTACTTGGAAATATAAATGCACTCAAAGCATCTCCAACAGTTTTTCTATAATTTCTAAATATGGAGAAGTAAAAATCAAAATCTCTCTAAAAAATTACAGTTCAACTTCAACTGTTTCTCCGTTTGGGAGATTACAACATTAATTATGTTATTAAAACATTCAAAAATCATGTAACAATGAGTTTTAACAGTCATGTGGCCCCTCTGGAATAGGACAAAAACTCCCGTCTTGTTTCACCTTTTTTGGTGGGACAAAAAAGTCCAGTCCCACCTGGTCCTGGTCCCTGTCCCTGTCCCTTGTCACATCAAACATGTAACAATGAGTTTTTATCCTGTCTCATGTTGTGTCAAATGTGGAATAGTGAGTTATTGTATTGTCTTATGTCACTTCAAACGTGGTACAAGGAGTTTTGTTGTGTCTTGTTGCTCTGTCCGTTCCCGTGTACAAAACGTAGCCTGATGGCCGTGGGAATTGTACGATGGGAGCATTTCAGAGAGTGGGGTCGTGTACCCTTTTTGTAGGATTCCCATTCCCTTATTCCATCACTTAAATTCTCAATTTTAGGTTAATTCTGCATTTAACGGGAAACGAAAGATGTTGCGCAAATCGCTCCAACACATAACGTCGTCCCTCAAGATGGAGGAAGCTCTGGTTAACATTGGTCTCCCTGCAACAGTAAGTATCCCTCCCCTTTGCCGTTCTTTAACTTAAATCAACTCAGCTTTCTTTTTCGACACTCCGATGATCGTTCCTTCTTCGTGCAGTCGAGACCGGAAGAATTGACACTAGAAGATTTTGTAAAGTTGCATAATTTAATTGTAGATATTTGACAAAAATGGTATTTAGAGATGCCCTTTTGGGCATTAGGTAGGAAAGTTTGGTACTTTTTGGAAATCTTTCTCAAAACAAGTGTTTCTAAAGCTTTCAAGAAACCCTTGTTTCATTCTTGTTGTATAGAAAGTGGATCATCAACCTTGACTCCAAAGTTCGAAAGTATTAGGAGGTCTCAGGTTCAAATCCAAGGAGGAATAAAAATCCTCTTGTGTCAACGGAGGTTCAAATGCGGTGACTCCGGGCTATCTGCAAAGCAGGTGGTTGTCCTGAGATTAGTCGGCTCGCATAGCGGGTTGGATATCCAGGTTAATCAAAAAAAAGTTGACCATCATGTTGTATCCATGGGTTACAATCCGATCTTTTTGGAGGCACTGTTACAACTAAAGATTTTAAAGATTTTGATTGCACTGGAAAATAGGATAACAAAGATACATATATACACATTACAAAGGCGATGATGAGACGTATTATTTTTATTTTCTAATAGAAATTAGAGAGACACCGAGATAGAAAGACCCTACATCATGTAAAACCAGGCCCCAAAATTTTGGAAGCCTTATTCAAAAACACATATTTAACATGCTAAAAAGCGGCCTTGATACCCATTAACATATGTAGTTACAGCCATAAACTGGTTTATTTTTTAAAGCTAATTGAAAAAAATCCAGTTTAATTTACATAAACTAGCTTTTTGAAATGCTACTTTATGTTTTAATAAGTTTTAACGTTTTAATTTCCATTATACCTTTTATATTTTTTTCCAACTAATTTTTAACATGTTATTTCAAGTAGCTTTATCAACTAATAGTTTATCTGCTAAATCATAGGTGGATCATAAAAATAATTAATATAATATAGAATAAATAAAAATTAATCTTAAAATGAAAATGAATTTAGAAAAAAATACTTTATCTTAATTTATGTTTTGAAAAATTAGAATGGTACTTGCGTAATGCAGCAATATATATATTTCGATCTTAATGTTTTGTTTTATTTTGTCTCTGTAGATGTTTTAATATGATTTTTATGTGGTTTTGCGAAATGGATAATGATTTTATTTTTGAATAAAATATAAACTTGAAGATATCATAAAATTTTGAAAATAAATATATCAATATTAGTATCAAATTAATTATTTATATGTTTTTGTTTTTGTGTAATTTCTTTAATTCAATTTTTTTATTATAATTTAATTCAGATTTAATAACGAAGTAATTTATTTTCGATTTAATAATTCTTTTATAAGAATAATAATTAAGTAATCTGTTAGAACTCAATGATCATCTTAATTATATTTTAGATTTTTACTATTTAAAATGAAATGTTTATCTGCAGTTAGTTACACGAATTCAAACATGAAGCTTTAATAAGTTCTACTTACGCACAATTTATTTGTAATCTTGAATTTTATGTAATATGCATTAATAAACAGTATTTCATGTATTAAAAATGGTTTTTAAGAGTTTTTGTCAAATGCTTTATAATATACTATAGATGTACCTAACAAACTATGAGTATATTTATTTAAATCTGTATCATATCGTTCAGAAAGAAACATACTTTAAAAACATGTCGACGTTTACGTTTTTACGTCAATTTTAGTTACTAAAATATATTTTTTTTTCAAATTATATACATTTTGATTACTAAAATTTGACATATTCTTCTCTAAAATCATTCGATACTTTTGTTCAGTATTGTCACTAAATCTGAATGATTAGTCCAAAACTAACATCAGTATAAGCAAATTAGCCTTAAATCTAAACAAATTAACACAAAATAGTTGGTGTTAAATCTAAAGAAATTAACGCTAAAGAGGTAATACCAAAATCCATACAGTTTCAATGTTTATGGTTTCACTAAAACACACTTATGGTTCATGTCCTCATGGTTGTATTTTTATAACGAGTTGGGTTCGTAATGCAACCACAAGGAATATTAACCAAAAAACCGAAAAAAACCCCTCAAAATCAATTAGAAAACCGAAAAGGTTCATAAAAAACAACTAGAAAACTTAAAAAGTTTATCAGGAATTCAGTTTAAGAACACATCAGCGACTTTACGGATCTTTGATCTACCTTAAAGGTGCACATGCTCGGAATTTTTTTGGGTCCGCTGTTGTACGCCTCATTAAGCATGTGGTATGCCATTGCCTAATCTGTAGTTTTTGTAATGTGATATATTAAAATTTTCTTAACTTTTAATGTTTTATTTGTTAGTTTTTTAATATACTAGAAGCGCACTCGCGCAATGCAGCGAGATACATCGTGTTTTTAATATTTCATTTTATT